TCCGGCAATGAAATGCCGTGCTCATGACGCCGATGAGGGAGTACAACAGGTTATTTCGTTACCGTCCATGGAGAAGTCTCCCACAGGTAGAAAATCTGGAGAGGTTTCCAGAGATATGTGGGTCTGTGTGGGTTCGTATTCCTCGCTGGGCGCCAGTCTGTAGGGAGCACTGTGAGCAGGATGGTTTAGGTGAATGGAGACAAGAGATCTCTGAAGGCTGCTCTTGGGATATAAGGTTTATTAGGGATGCAGAAAGGTCCTGCTTCGAGCTGCCAGATGCAGCACGTGGTGAAGCTTAAGGAGATGGGGGAGGGGAGAGACAGGAGGATGCTTTAGGAGAGGGTGGAGGTCCTATGAGGGGGAAGATCCAAGAGAGGGTGTTGCCCCTCGGAGACCCCTTATCAGGGGGCTTCAAGGTGGGCTGGAACAAGGCTTGGGCCAATGGGGTTACAGGCACTTGATGTTTTAGGGGAGGGTTACAGGTGTGGGGTGAGCCATACATTTTGGGGGGTGAGATGGAACAGTCCACTTGACCTCTGGACCCATCCATAGGCAGGGGCATTGTCTGGCTAGCAGAGAGGACTGTTCTCATCCTGGCTGTATTATTTATTAATAATTATATTTATCCATCCTTCCCAACATTTCTGTTTCAGCAGTAGAAAGCAGTTTCTGTGAGGCACTCCAGTGTATCGTTTTCCTTGGGATTTTTCTTTGTCTTTTATAATCAACAATACAATGCAATTAGCCAACATTCTTGGGGGCAACTGAAACATGTGGGTAATAAAACTCAGAAATGCAAACTCCAGTCTTCCCCAGAGCCCCCAGAACCAGCACTTTGTCTTTAAATACCTTCTTGTAAGCCAAGCCCTGAGGTAACACTAAATGACTCAAACCAAACTCATGTCTTAAATAAATTCTCTCTTGCACTGTGCAGTCAAGGAAACTCCAAGGCTGGGCAGCCTTCAGACCTCTTCTAGTCCCACTGCACACATAGCCCCAGGTAACACTAATCAGTAATCCTAATATTGAGGAGTCCTTTTTAAGAGAAGTTCTACAAAGAAATTAAAAATGCACAATTCTCACAGTGGTAAAAACTGAAGAGAAAGAGAAATGTGTTTGTGTGTAGGAGTCTTTCTACATAGCTTTCATAACTCTTGGCTGAAGGTGTTAGAAGATGGACTTATGTAGAAAGTCTCCTAAGCTCAGAAATAAAGATCTTTCCCCAAAATCAATATACAACTGAAGGTTATATTTTTTCTTTTTTACCTATTATTATCATGGATTTGTGGCAACCATGTTCCCTGACCTTTCTCGCACACTTATTCCACAATGAATAAAATGCCCATGCATCTGGCAGTTTATTATTTTACTATTTCTAACGATCTCATACCCTTATTGATACCATTTCATCCTCCACACATGCCATCTTTCTGGTTCATTGAAACTCTCCACTTCCAAAGAAAGGTCACAGGGCTTTTTCTTTTTCCTTTTTTAACCTGCTCATGGCTGCAGAACTCCATGCCAGAAGAGATTAGAATAACAAAACTCACTGGCTTCAGATCAAACCACAGGCTTCACCTTGCTGTAGTTCATCTTCCATCAATAACAATCAGCTGAAATTGGACAGAAAAATCTAAACTGTTACCAGACTTTTTGGAATTCAAGAGGTGTAGACACCACAGAAAAAGCAATGGTAAAAGCACTGCAGCAATTACTAGAACACCAGGTCAATGTGTGCGGAGAAAATCCCTATGAAAAGTGTACATGGGAATTAATCCTATTGTTGCTAAATAGGCAACAAAATTTGCTTCAGGAAAATATATTAAATTAGGTGTATCGATAGACTTTCGGATAAACGTGTGAGTAAAATGTGCATGATTTGTGGAAAGTATATAAATGAAAAAAAATCTAAAAAATAGAAGAAATAATATTCTTGTAGTTTTAGCGTCTTTTTTTCACAAGCTATAAAGAGAATGTATTAGATGTTGGACACTTGAGATACTTTTAAGATTAGATAATTTAGCTAAGAAGCATTATTGTAGAAAAGGCAATGGCATATGCTTATTATTGGATAATTATATTACGAATGGCCTCTCAGGCAGAATGGATCCTGTGATTACAGCCTTACATTTGTATAAAACCTTCAAGTCACAAGAGAAAAGAACAATTTTATAAAATGAAAGAAAATGACCTAAATAGGAAGATCTTTAGAAGTTCCAGCAGTGTGGTAGATAGGGACAGGTGAATGGAAGATTTTGGGATGTAACAGAAAGCAAGACCCTTCCCCCCTCATCCTGTGATATGTAATCCATCACCCCTGAGACAGGTAACCCCTCCTAACCCAGTAGTTTTCCACCCCTTATTAACCCTAGAGACCCTACCTTCTTCCTTTGACGTAGCAAAGCCCCCTTGACTATTTAACCTCACGAGATAAGGTAATAAAGGCCATTTGACCATCCACCACATTGGTGTCTGTGTATGTCTGTGGCCTGAGTGGCCCGGGCGAGGCCGGGCTGCCGTGCTGTCCCTTGAAACCAGGTCTTCTGCCTTCTCAGCAGAAGGCAACAAGCAGGAGCTCAATATCCCAGAGAGGAGGAAAACGAAGATAACTCACAATACCTTACTTGACTTTAGGCATTTCTTCAATGTGTCTGCATTGCTCAGAACCAATTTCTCTCCTAGTTTAGCTTTAACTAAAGTGCAGTGAAGTCCCTTAAGTATAACATAAGCTTTAACTAAAGTGCAGTGAAGTCCCTTAAGTATAACATACTTAATAAAAAATCTCCACAATAAATTGTTGCCAATGAGCATGAAGTGATTAGTGTTTTAATTTTCAACCTTTTATACAGAAATCACATTTAATTCTGTCTACTGGACTGAAAGAAAAGGTCTTTGCACCATAGGTTTTCAGAAGCTTGAGCTCGGTGTTCTCTTTGAGGTCAGATTTATTAAAAAAATCCCTCCAAAACTAAAATTTATAAAAAAAAATTTGGAAAAGTTGCATTAAGTTTACTAAGGTAAAAATATTTATAGCTGTTGCAGTATTAAGACTATTACAAACTAGGTGGATGGGAGAATTAAAGCCTAAACAAAAGAGTAAATAAAAATAATACTGTTTAACTGTTAATCTGATAATTGCACTTTTGCCAGTATCCTTTAAATTTCTCAAAAGCTACAAAATTATCCACATTGAAGAAATTAGAAGTGATGTAAAAACCACCTCTGCCATTAGCTAAGAAGTTTATCTGCCTCCCTCTTTATTTATAAATAGATAAATAAATTTATAAATTCAGCAACAGATCAAAAATGGCTTTCTGCAAAAAGAAGTCAGTCTCAAGATTCTGGAATTTCAAACTTTATTATTGTGCTTGTGAGTGGAACCCACTGGATGTGAAGAGAGTTGGATACTGACATAAAGAATTCAGTGGAACATATATATATATATATTTGTATGTACGTCAAAATGTCTGAAGTAGCAACTTGCTCAGAGCAGACAGAAAATCAAGCAATAAATGCTTTTTGTGACTCAGCTGAGGGAGCATTTCCTGCTCCATCTTTTGTATTGTTAACAACTAAACCACCAACTCCAGTGTTTTGCCTGACATCTATGGACAGAACATGATCATATCAGGCAGTTTCCTGTGCGGTGATAAAACGGATTTGATTGCAGAGGACAGAATTTCCTCATACTCATTGCTGCAGCAATTTTTCTTGTAACTGTAATGAAATGCTTTAACTTTTTATGCAACAAATAGGAAGTGAATATCCTGCCATATTGCTGATGCTCTCCGACCACAAAACCAGCTACAGAAATGGAAGCGCTGATGGTGAAAAAAAGTGGCCTGCAAAAGGAAAATCTGAAGTTTTTCCAGTGCAGATTCTTATTTAAATGATGATCAGGTACTTCTCTGCAGTTCTGAGAGCATAGGATTGTTACCTTTGAGAAAAAACAGTGAGAAAATAAATAAGACTTTACCCAGCACTGAAACTTTGTGTAGGTAAAATCTCATTAATGACTACAAGAGCTCTTGAACAAGACCAAGCCTGATCCTGATGCAATGAACTAGAACTGCCACTGTTTGTGCTCATTAAAATATTTCAAAAAGGATGAAGAGGTTCTTTTTGGGTTTGTTGGGGTTTTTGGGGTTTGTTTTTTGGGTTTTTGTTTTGTTTTTTTTTTTTACTTACCAGTGACATGTACCAGTAAGACAAGCAATCATCCAGTATTAGAACATACATTTAAACTTTGAGAAAAACTTTTCAGTGTGTCAGCAGTGTAAAAGATGAGGACAGTGAGAGAAATTACCTTAATTTTAGTGGAGAAAAGGAATATACCACAATCACCAGCCCTAAGAAATACCCAAATGATTAAGTGTTAATTAATCCTTCTTACCCATCGCCTTGTAAATTATTTCCTAATTCTAAACTGTAGGGTTTTTTCAGGATTACTAAACTACAAGTTGTCCGTGTTCTTATGAAGGCCTGATGAGCTATTAACATTAGAATTAGAGCACCACCTTCAACAACTGACATGGAACACGTTATTGTTTTCTCCACAATGTCACTGCTTTCTGCACATAATAAAATAGGGGATAACAGGAATTTTCCATTATCTGGGGTATTTTTAAAATAAAATTCAAATATGCAAGCCCAACCTGGACTGTACTGTGAAAGTGCGAGTGAGAGGCGCTAGAACACCTGGGGATCTCCGGGAGGCGCAGGGCCAGTGCAAGGCGGCTTCTCAGGGCCGTGCCCCTCATATCCCGGCTATCCCCAGGCAGAGGGAAGCCTGCCTGAGCCGCCTGTTCCCGTATTCCCTCAACACTGGCGACTAACAACCACCGTAAAGTACTCGTTTCTTTTCTTTCCATTGCTGTACAGCACCCGCGAGTCGGGCGGCCGCGGCCGCCAGCCCCGCTCCCGTTGCCGCCCCCCCTACTCCCCGCCCGCCGCAGCCGCCGGCCGCGCTTCCCGGGAATGCCGTGAGGGCGGCTCCCGGCCCCAGGACCCACCCCGTGACGCCGGTTGCCATAGTGGCCGCGCCGCTGGCCATGGCGGCCGAGGAGGAGGACGACGTGGAGTGGGTAGTGGACACCATCGCCGGGTTCCTGCGGGGGCCCGCCTGGTCCATCCCCATCCTGGAGTTCATGGAGCACAACTGCGAGGGTGAGGAGGGTGAGGGGGGCGGGCGGGGCCGGGCCCGGGCGCGGGGCGGCCCTGGGCGCCGGGGCGGGCGGGAGCGCCCTTGCCCGCCCGGCCGCGCCCCCGCCGGGCTCCCGGCGCCCGCCGCGTCCCCCGGGCCGGCCAGCCGTGTGTCGGAGGCGCCGTTCGCATCCATTAGCTCGCCCTCGGATTATGGCGTGAGCTCACGGCTGACGCCGAGCGGGCGCCGTACCTGCGGCGCCTCGGACCCCGGCACGGCCTCCAAAGCTCTCCCAGAGCCGGGAGCTGTCCTTAGGAAATTGGTCTGGACAACCGAGTGCGCCATCCGGTCAGTGCAACAGAGGAAGAGAAGGCTCAAAGTTAAATTCCTGCAATTATGCGAACGTTGTCAATTAAGAGGTGAAAATCCCTCAATTTTAGGAGCTCGCAAAAATGATAGTCAAAACTGTCAGTGATCACCGGCAACGTTTTGTAGGTGATCCTGTGGGTGAGTTTAGCTTGGGAGTAACTCCAGTTCAGACCTCCATTTCTTCCTTTGTCTTCTTGAGATAACCAAGGCATAATCTGGGGAGCAGCCTGGGTAAAGTGGAAGTACAGGCAGTGAGGGGGGGCCAGGATTGCCCTGTGGCCAGGGGAGGCCTGTGCAGGTTTGTATCTGCAGAGGGGAAGGAGGAAATAGACTCTCTGATGCAGAGATTTGGCTAAATTACTTCGGTTTACAGAACAACTTCTGCTGCCAAAAAACACCTGGATCCTTACAGTAGCAAAGTAATGACAATTTGGGCAGGTCTGAAAGCAGTGCCTAAGCCCTTTGGAAAAACAAAGGCAGCTTTTGTTTGTGATTTTTGGAAAAAAATCACCTTTCAGTTTCTCCCTGAATCGTTTCTACACCCCGCCCCCCCCCCCCCCCCCCCCCCCCCCCCAAACTTTGCACGAGGCACGACTGTAATGAGTCCATATGCCTTTCCCTCTTAAAACTGGGAAAAGAGAAAGGGAGAGCTCCTGGAGCCTTCACGGCGAGGACGGGCTAGAGAAACCTAGACTGGAAGCTTTGTCCTGGGAAGTCTGCCTAAACTTAGGGTGGGCCTAACATTCTGGTTGTCTTGCAAAGGTTTAGCTATCGAGGGAATTGATTTATCCCTCTCAGGAGCAATGATCCCTTCTCCTTAGAAGGTTGAGCGGAATTTACTGACAGTAAGAAGATTTGTAGAACCGCTGTAAATTTCCACCTAGTGTGAGGCAGGCTCGTGATGGTCACTTCCTGCTGGGCTGATTCCAGTGCTGGTTTTGTACTGACATACTTTGTCAGGACAGAGTCCTTTGCATTCCCAAAACATTTGATTTTGGGTTGGACTAGCAAATTAGGAGCACTCTGATTAACTGACAATAATTTGTGACTCCTCAAAAATACAGTTCAGGTTTTGGTAGTCAGTATGTGAGGAATTCATTTTACAACTGTAGTTACTTTGGCCAAGTCCTTGCACTTCAACTTGTAAACTTATTGTAATGGTTTTCTATCTGTTAGCAAGTGTTTGCTTCTCTCCCTCCCTCTTTCTGGGAACTTGATTAATTTCTTATTGCTTGGTTAACTTGCTTTTACGTCAAACTGAAATTAAATAGATGGGTGTGTATCATTCCATCTGAGGGGTCCTAGCCAAGATCTTCAGTTTTAACAAGAAGATAATGAGTGTCTCCCGGGACTTCTATGTCCCCTGGCTTGTCTTCATACTGTGGTTCTTAAGATTTTTATTCCTGGTGGGCGACCAAAGGCTGTGCCAAAACCTTAAGGAATAATGACTACGTGATTCAGAAGCCCTGACTCAAGAAAATCCAAGGTCTCTGTTCCAAGTAGTCCTTAAAGCCACTTAGCTGAGAGGAGATGCTGACTGCAGCTGGCTTTACTTGGCAGTGAACTTGATCCCGTTGTGTCCTGAGCCCGGGGACAGAGTGTGCCAGCTTCGCACTCTGCTCTGCAGGAGGAACATCGCCTTGGCAGTGCCAGGCCAGCTGTCACCAAGGGGTGACATCCCTGTGCTTGGGATCCCCAGGGCAGGAAGGGTGGGGGAAAAAGGGACAGAGAAGCCAAGGTGAAAGCTGGGGTCTGCAATAGCTGGTAGCAATCCCCAGCCAGGAGGAGACAACAGAGGCTGTCAAGTGTCTTCACTTGTCAAGTTTAGTAATATGGTGGTTGCATAGAACTGATATCTATAATACCTTCCCTATAATTTGAATTTAATCCTAGATACGTGTAAGCCTTTTATTTTAATTTCTTCATTAAAAATTTTGCCTTGTGCAAAACCCCCAAGCAATGTTGGTTTTCCAAAGTATGATTAAAAACCAGATTTTCCTCTGCTTTTGGGGGACCTGAAATGTGTCATTGGATTTCTGTTATTGCACTTCTGTGTTAGAAAGTGATGCTGCTTTAGGAAGTGCCACCTCAGCTCACACTGTGTCCAGGTCTGGAGTGATGTGGCCTCAGGGCTGTCCCAACTGGGAAAGATGTTGGATGCCTTCAAAAAAAAGTCACTCTGAATTTGTGTGAAGGTTGCACTGGTTCCACGGCATCACCACCATCAGAGATGTCACATGTACATGAAGAATAAATCACACTCGTTCACCAATTTAAGCAGAATTCCCATTCTTCAAATGACTTCAAAGAATGTTCCTGGCAAGTGACTTGTCCAAGTGGCTAATCTTGAAGGGGATTGAGGCAGACTTATTTCTAAGCCTTTGCTTTAATTGCCAGGTTTTACTTTACCTCTCTTAGTTGTTGGCATGAAAAAAATGTACATTACCACCACCCCCCCACCCCTTAGTTTTCAGTTCCTCTCATTCTCAGCTTCTTCCAGATATTCTGCAGCATAGAGATCATGAGCTTGAGTAGTTCCAGTTACGGTTTTTGATGTGAATTTACATTAATATGATTAATATGGACTTTAGTATCGGAATGTCCATTTTTCATAAATTACATTGATTTAACTAAAATATCACTTAACTGCACCACATTTTCTCTTTGGGTTTATCTGGTTTTGCAGGCAGGGACTCATTTTCCTGTATCACCTTGGTTTCTTACTACATGAATGACATTTAAAAGATGGTTCATGTCATTAATAAATATCTCTTCCATGTAAATACATGGAGAGTAAGAAATTTCCTGTCTGATCTGCCTTCCAGATCTGTCATCTGCCACCAAAGAACAACCTTACACAGAATCATAGGGGGTAGTTCTTATATTAAAACTTACCTTTTAGTGAATGTATCTGCTGAATCCTCAACTTGCTTACAAGTCTGTTATGAAGATACATTTTCCCAGTATTAAATTATGCAGCTTAATTGCTTTCAGTTATCAAAAGCACACACTTAGCCTGAGTTTGTGGAAAAACAGAGGACTTTGATAAATCATGGCCTATATTTTCATTGATTAAATATATTACCCTCTAAAGGTTAATCTTGCTGTTTAGGGTGTAAGTTAATTTGTGGTGGTTTGTACACTGACTGCAAAATGTTACTTCTTCCCCTTCCTCAGTTTTTGATGATGAAGAAGAAAGCAAGTTGTCTTACACAGAAATTTATCAGGAGTACCAAGCTCTGGTGAGCATTATTCACTGTCTGTGGTAAATTTCTAAGCAAAAGAATTTAAAATGTTATTTAACTGAGTATTTATATGAACTTCTAATTGGGTTATTATTGTTATTTAGTATTTTTCCAGATGTTATTCAGAAATCCTGTGAGTTGTAGTTGTCATGTGCATTTATATACCTAAAGACTAGGTACATAGAAAAGAAACTGTGACACACTCATAGCTCTTAGGCTGTTTTATATATTCATCATTAAAATTAATATATCCACAACCTTCAAGATTGTATTTACAAGCTTGATAATGTTATTTTCTATCAAATGAAAATGACAACCAGCAGGATGTCTGAAAACACTCACAACTTGTATTTTGTTCACCGATGAGTCTGGGAAATCTTTCGAATTATCTTTCAATTATCAGAAAAAATGACAGGAAAGTTTTGAAGCTTAAATACCTATCAAATAATACTTGCAGATTTCTAACACTTTCTGTAATGAGGCTGGGAAATACATGATACTAAAAAGCTTTGATTGAAGAAATACAAACCAACATTCATTTCTGCTCTGACCCTTAAGGCTTTCAGGCATAGACTGGCAAAAAGCCTTTTATTTTCATGAAAAAACCATGAGAAATAATAGCCAGGAATCTGGGGAAAAGGTACACGAGTGAGAGTCCTGGAAATTGGAGAAGATATGTTAAGGAATCATCAAATTTAGCAATAAAAATGCTCATTTTGAACAGTGCATGAAAGCAAATAAAGCTTGAAATCAGAAAAGTCAGTTATGCTATTTAGTGATTTTCCTTTGAGTTTATAAACCACATCAGCAGAAAAGAATAGACAATCATGACAAAAATTCTTCTGATTCTCAGGGAAAAACCTTAGAAGCTAAGGCTTATACTTTCTTACAGGTGGAGAGATTACTAGAGGACTACCTTAAAGAAGTTGGAATTAATGAGGAGAAATTTCAAGAAGCTTTTTCTTCTCCTCTTGCAAAGACCCACACCTCCCAGGTATTTGCTTTCATTAAGGAATATATGGATTTCATTCTCAGCTTGATGTTTTCCCTAACACAGCTGGCAGGAGATGAAACTTGGAAAAGTTTTAATGGTGAAATTGTTGTTTTCAATTGAACTACAGCTGTTTGCTTACACTGGTGTCATGGTTTGACACTGGCACAATGCCAGTGCCCCCATGAAAATGCAATCTCTCAAATAAATGCTGTGAAATGGAATTCAGAACAGAGCAAAGCAGGCCCAAGCTTAATAACAGGGAAAAAAAAACTTTATTAAGCTACTACTATAAAAGAAATAAAGGAAGGAAAAAGAAAAAAAACACACACAAAATTCAAAATTAAAACCTTGCAAAGCATTCCTCCTCCCACCACCCAACTCCAACAAACCACAGCAAGACACAATCTGGACCCCAATCAGGTTTCCACTCTCCAGACAATCAATACTCAGTCCATTGAGGGAGAGAGGAGCCTCTCCTGTGCCACAGACCCCCCAAGAAATACAGCTGCCACATCCTGTGCTTCCCTGTCACACATGGCACCACCCAGAGAAAAAGTTTGCCATGGTGACCCTTCGCCTTTCCATGCACAGTGCTCTCACCACCAATGCATGGATGGACAGACTGCTTTTAGGATTTTCCTTTCAAGGATGCCCTGCCAAGAGGGGAAAAAACAACAGTTCAGGTTTTTCCATTTTTTGGGACCACAGTCCCCTCCCATTTTCCCCCTGGGGCCGAGGGTCCAAGAACAGAGATCTTCTTCTCTTCTTCTTTGAGGACAGGGGGCACCACCACAAACCTCCCTAACTTTTCTCTGTTTGCTCCACTTCTGTCTTCTCCCAGCTGAAGGAGGTCTCTTGGCTCACCGGCATCCTCCTAAAATACAGTCTCTCTTGGAGGAGAAGATTGATTCAGTCGGTGGCTACCAAGGAAAAAGTTCAGCCAAAAGCCACTCCTTGTCCCCCTCTTATCTAAAATTTCTCCTTCTAACATCCCAGGGTCCAAGGTGTCTCTCTTCCTCTCTTTTCAAACCAAGGAGGGGGAAAAAAATTTCACAAAGCTTTCATTTCTCAAGGAAGGGTTAAGAGTCCCGACTCCCTGTCTGGCTCTCTGCCCAGGCTCTGGCTCCCACGGCAGTGGCTGGGCACCTTGCGGCCCCTCCCCGCTCGCTCTTCTCCTTCCCCGCGGTGAAATTGCTGACAAGCCACCACTGCCAAGAGACTCTTGGGGCGGGGGGCAACAGAGACATCCCAGATTTTTTCTCCACCCTTCCATCTGCAGGGGGTTCCAGTCCCTCTACCCTTGGGCCTACCTCAGTCAGGCCATGGGCCTTCCCCTCCCCACCCAGCCACGGCCGGGCAGGGGAGAGGCTGCACTGCATGCTGACCAGAACCAAAGAGAGCGAGTTCTCCTGGGAATTCTGCTTTCAACCCCTCTGTGTTCTCAGAGGCGTGTCCACCTCCAATTGGTCAATATCCATATTGACCTCTTCCTTCCGAGAAAAATGATTTTTCCATGTCAAACCACGACAACTGGGAAACCCAATTTTGTCATAATATTATAATATTGTCATAATGTTATTGCAGACATGTTGATCTAAAGATGTAACCCACCAAGTTATTTTCTTGACCATGAGCTCTTCTTGTATATCTGGAAAAACAGACAGATAGAATGAAATATAATTATTAAAAACATGCTCCCCAGAATTGAAAAATCCAGCTAATTTCAAACAGACTGAGCTGGTTAGGATTTCTGTGGGGGGTTTAATTTTGTGCATATCTTTCCTCCCACAGGCCATTCTGCAAACAGTGTTGGCAGCAGAAGATTTTAGACTGTTTAAAAAAATGATGGTACAGAAAAATATTGAAATGCAACTGCAAGCGATTCGAATCATCAAAGAAAGAAATGGTGAGAAGTGATGAATGTGGGGATTCTCTGAAGGTTTTTAGTGTTCTTTTGATGACTCTTTAAGCCATTCATAAATGAGTGTGGAATGCTGGTTCTGCTCCAGTTCAGGTTACAGGAAAACACCCTATTGATGATACTGGGACAGAGATTTCATTACTTAGTCCTTGGCTTGCACTCTTGGTGACAGCTGTCTGTACTGTAAAGTTAACAGATATTTCAGGTCTGTTTGTCTGAATTTCTTTGTGAAACTTGACTGAGTTTTCTGTTGCAGAATTTTAATGACATTTCTGAGCTAAGGCAGCTAGGGCAGTTCCTCAAAAGGAGCAATATCAATAGCTGTAATTCTGCTCCCTGCATGGCAAGGATGTTGTAGTGTCTGCTGTGCTTACTGTGCAATTCACACTGAAAAATCCATTCAGGAAGTACAAGTTAAGGCCTTCATCATGCTCATACATGCATGAAAAAGAAGATGAAGAGAAAATAATCCACACCAAACTTCACTGCTCTGTTGATGCTTCTGAAAGGGTTTTAATCTCACTCCTTCCTTCTGTGTCTTTCATTGTACTTACTTCTTACTGTATGAGTGTTTGTCAGAGAATAATTTTTAAATTTCACCTTTCATATAACAGCTAGATTTGAGAGTGGTTCAGGTGGCCATTGCTGAATTGCAGCCTACAGGAAATGCCACATAATGGTCAATACAGAATTTGGCTTAACCTTTGAGGTCAAAACTTTCATTGCCAGAAATCTTTAACTTTTCTTAACAGGATTTAGGACATTTTCCTCTAGGATCTTTTTGGAAACAGTTTACATGGCTTTGGCTTTGTGAGTGTGATTTTCTTTTGTTTGGGTTTTTTTTTAAATTTTCTTCTCTGCCAACTGGAGCACAAAATAATTTTCCTTAGAATAATGAATAAATCTTGTTTTTTTCCAGGTATATTGCCTGAGTGTTTGACAGAGGGTTCTGATGTATTCAGTGAAATTGAACAGGAAGAAATGAAAATACTCAGGGAGGTTCTAAGGTAAGAAATCAATCAGTCCAACTTTGTATATTATTTTAAAATACAGGTCTATAGGACCTGACTCTTCCAGCCTTTTCCAGGGAACCGCCATCATCTTAGAGATAACAGGAACATTCTTGTCAATATCCAGCCTGAGGGAATATGAGTGGTGCTGGGCAGTGGCTGTGCTCAGGAATATTGAAATAGTGAGTGAGAACTCTTGCTGTGATCTGAGATGCTTGAGACCAGTACAACTTCTGCAGATTCTCCCCCACTCCCAGTTCACAGACACAAAATAATAGGAGATGAGTCCATCCAGGTTATATTTGATAAAGCTATTTTCCCTCTGGATTCTGGGAATACTTCCCTTCCTGTCTTCAAATTAGCAAATTAAATAAAGGGGTAGGTAAGTCCTGGAAATTCTTACACAATTATTTCAGCACAAAGGTAGTTGAGGACAGTGGGCACTTGTGTGTTTATCCCAGTATTTATTTCTATTAAGACTTAAGTCATGGAAACATTTTAGATACTGACAAATTCACATTACCTTGTAATTGCTTTGATACTCCTCAAATATTTAAGCAGTGTTAAACTTCCCTGAAAATCACTACCACTAAATGAGTTTTGAGTATTTACTCATGTTTATTGTTTCAGAAAATCTAAGGAAGAGTATGAAATAGAGCAAGAGAGAAAGAGGACTGAAGAAGTGAGTATCTTACCTTTGTATATGAGTTATGGGGATGATTAAGAAATCCCCTGATATTCTGTCTTGGCTGTGCCCAGATCCCTTCCAGGCCATGTGTTCCATCAATGAAGTATCCCACAAGAAGCACATTCCCTGCTCAGCACCTGAATCCTGAAATCCTGCTAATGGGTGTCAGCATTTCAGATCCAGAGAGCAGCTGAATTGCTGATATTGTCAGGATCAAAGAGCCTTCAAAGTGTAAGCTGCTTGGAGATGACAGCACTCATAATCCCATAAGAATTACCTTCAGGATGACTTGATAGACAGTGTAGTTATTAATTAGGTGTTCACAAGACAGAACTAATCAGCAGGACCCAGAAATCCTCTTCAAGACACCATCCCTTAGTGTCCATCGGAGTAAACCACAAAGAAAGGAAACTGAATGGAAATGGGGACTGTTCAGATTGTGGAATCATGGCAATAAACCTCCTTTTGACTGGGAAGACAGGCAAGTTTTATCCAAATCTCTACAGACCACCAAGAATATGAATATTCTTGATAAACAATCCAGATTGCAGAGCCCCCAGTCAAGTTCACCTGGCCAGAGAAGGTGATAGTGTTCAGTGATAAGTTTTTTGTTAAAAGACTGTTTCAACATAAAATAATTTCATATTTTAATGAATGGTGTGGGGGTTCTGACATGAATGACACAGTTGATCAACAGCATAGACAGTTTCTAGGCAGAAATTCTGAGAGAAGAGTTGGATTGTCTGTAGTGTAAACAATGCAGTTTTAATTGGAAGTTCTTCTGGGAGATTGCTTTGTATGGACGGTTCAGTACCTGAGGTACAGTGCCAGGAAATGTAACACTTGGGTTTATTTGTTTTCTAATTCAAGGTACATGCTAAACGCAAAGCTCCAGATGTTACCCACAATATTCCAGGAGATTCAAGAGAAGCTGTAAAAGTTAAGGAATCCACTGAGGGAGCTGAGGATTCTGAAGAAACTACAAAATGCCCATTAGGTAATTTTAGGGGGAGTGCAGTGCTGCGTGGGCAACATGATGCTGGTTTTAAATGATTCAGGAGTCCACTTGTATCAAGATTTTAAGAACTTGGCTGGGATAACGCTGTCAATAAAGTGTATTTGCCCTGCAGGAATGCCTTCCAACATGGGATGTTTCACTATTCCATGATGTTCTGTTCTGATTTATTATTTTTATCTCATGTATTTCTCTTCTTTCTAATTGTTTTCTATGCAAAATTATTTAGAGGGATCTCATAAATCTACAAAAGACCCCAAACCAGTTTGTCCAGTACAAAGAGGAACTGAAAACTTACTCCAGCCCTCTTGTACCAAGGGTAAAGAAGACACTAAGAAAAGGTCTGCTGGGAAAGGTTCAGAGAACACAGTGCAGAAAGCTGGGGAGAAAGGATCTGTAAGTTAAAAACAAATTTGAAAAAGCCAAACATAGGACTAGAATGCAAAAAGAGAAGATTACATGTAGAATATATATTTAAAATAGTATTATATTTAAATACAGAATTTCTGTTATAGTAATCAGGTGGATTTGGGTTATTCTGTTTTTTTTAAAAAACAAATATGTAAACACTCTTTTATGCTATTCACAGTTTAATTAGCGTAAAGTTCAGCTTACGAATTCTGGTTTCAGAGTAGAATTCAGCATTCAGTCCTTTGGTAATTTCTTAGGAGACAGCTCTGACTTGAAGCCCGACTTGGATTTGTTTTCACCTGGTAATTTTGGAAGCAAATAGGATGTAAATGTACTTTTCTTGCACAGGACATTGACACAAAAAAATTAATTTCAAAATTTTAATTTTTTTCCCTCAGGATTTATCCGAAACTGAAAAGCAGCAGCTGAAGCAACGTGAGGATTACCTAAAGAAAAAACGAGACCTGTTGCTGGCTACGAAGAAAGAGTCAAGAAATAATGTATCACCACTCAGCACTGATCAGAAGGAGGAGGAATCCCCTCCCAAAGAGGTGAAGCACTTTCATGTAAACCCACAGGTGCTTTTACTGCAGGTGCCCATGCTGCTGCTGAAGAGTGGGAATGGGTTAAAAAGAACAAGGAGGGAAATATTTCCAAGTTACTGCTTTTGCAGAAGCTTCGGGCTGGAAGTTTCGGTGATGAAGTTGGCATTGGTTGGCTTCAGCATCACCAGACCCTCCTGATTAACGTCAGTTTATGAATGGATAAAATGCCAGTTTGCTCCTAGTCTGTGACCTACTGTCTGGGCTCCTCAAATCTCAGGGCTTTTCTTTTCTTTTGCAAATGCTTGAAAACTCTCAAAAAAGAGGAAAATACTTGAAGGCCTTAAACCCTTCTTAGAAAACATTAGAAAACAATGTAGTTGGTAACTACTCTGTTTCAAACCCAAAAATCATCACTCTCCTTTACAGAGCAAGTACTTAAGGGTGTGAACTAAGGTCCAAAGATTTTATATTGCCTCAAATATTTTTCACAGTTGCTGTGCATTATATTATGCTCAGAAGGTGCTCCAAATCCTGGTGACTGGGGAGCTTTCAGGACAATTGCTCAGGAGGAGCTGAAGTTGGGGCTCCCAAAGCACAGATCAGAGCAGTGGGAGAGGGCAGGGTGGTGGCAGGAGCCCCATCCATCCCTCTGATCCATGGTGGGGCTGATGGTTCTCATTGCAGTGTTGCTTTCACTGTTTTTAGGAAATGTCAGAAGAGAAGCAAAGGCTGCTCCAGAAGAGGAAGATGCTTGCAGAAAAGCTAAAAGAAGAAGTAATTAATAAGCGGTAGTTTTAAGAGGCTCATTGCTGACCCCAAGAACAGAAGGATGTTTTAGAATAAATTATGAGTAAGTGAAGGGATTTCCAATCTTGCACTGGGATTTATAGAACTTTCAGACAAGCAGCTCAGTACCTGGTAACTCCCTATTGCAAATGCCACTGAAACACACCATGAATGCACGTTTTCCAGAGTGCTGGAAACTCCCCAACACTCCCGCAGCAAGGCCGTGCCATCACTGTAGAGCACAGCCCTGCTCCAGCCCTGGGCCCTGAGAGCAGAGGCACTGATGGAGAGCTGGGAAAGGAATTCCTGTGGCAACAGCTCAGAGCTCAACATTGGAACTTTTCATGTCAACAGTGCAGAACGTGGTTCCTTTTATTAGTCCATTATGAAGAAATGGCTCTTTTTCAGCTGCGCAGTGTAATAAAGTCTGGTTTCACAAGGAAGTGCACCCTCGATCACCTCATTTGTGAGAAAGTCAGTGTACCTTGGGAGTCAAGACATTCACAAATTAACTCCAGGTTACAGTGCTTTACAGGCTTTTGGGGCAGTTTCCCAGGCCCCAGGTCTCAGTTTGCAATTGTTTTAGTGCAAAGCTGGGACTGTTCCCAGCAATTCACTGCCAGAGTAGCAGAAATCTTTTTAAGTCCTTTACTGGAGGTTTGGCTTTCACAAACTCAGAAAGAAGCCAGGAGAGGTCGCCCTTTGCTCATGGCATTGGCCTCATTGAGAGGTCGCCCTTAGCCATGACCTGCTACAGCTACTCGTAAGAGACAAACACACACACACCCCTTCTAGTTTCATGGAATTTTTATTAAAATAGCATTTAGAACTGGTACGTGTTAGCCGATGTTCTCTTCTTTCCCCAGAAGTGGCAGTGGAAAGGCCCAGGCAGGAGAACAAATGCAGCTGCCTACAAGGGCAGACTGGGAACCAGCACCGAGAGGTGAAAGCCCTAGGGAAAAGCCAGAGAGCCCTGGGTGTCACCTTTTCCCGGGAGTGCAGGCTGGTGTTTGACAGGGTATCTACTGCCACTTCACCCAGTCCTTTCCTAGGAACTATAAAAATTCATTACATCCTTGGTTTTGCTGTGAAGCAACCTCCTATTTGAGTGTGTTTTTAAAGCTCCTGCTATACTGCAGCAGGTGTTGGTGTGGTGAGGAGCAGAGCAAGGACTGACGCTCCTTGGGATTCCTGTGGAGAACTTGGCTTGGGAAGCTGTTGAAGAGAATTGGGAACGGGTACATGCTCCAGGTGATGCCACTTCTGCTCCTCAGGTGAGTGAAGGCACATCCCAGGTACCTGCTGCTTTCATGGCCTGTGAATCTTTACTGATGGAAAGACCCACTGGGAAGCTCGAGAGCAAGCACATGAGGATGGTGCTGCAGCTTCTCTTTACCAGCAAACACTTCCTTGGCTCCGGAGCTGACAAGTGTTCCCTCAGAGTCCTGTGCTGGGTGGCCTGGAGCTTTCCAGGTACATCAGAGCACCTGTATCTTGCTTAAACACTGGGAAGAGCTCACCCCTTCCCTCTGGGATTCCATCCAGTGGTATGGAGTTACTTCTGAAACCTGCATGGATAACTTACCTTGAACAACATCCTACAACAGCCACGTTGAAAAGTCTGAGTTCACTTTCCATGTATAACAAACCAAACAAAAGCAATAATTATGGAATTACAGGGTCACATTTTAATTCCTGAATTTTACAGTTCAGCATTAATATCACCACATGTATACAAATGGTGTAAAACAAGTACAGTGGCATCTTTAATACAAAATAAACTTCTGTTTTATGGAAAAAACTATACTTCATATCTACACAGACAGCCCATCTTTTCCAAACAAGAGCTAAAATTATAACTAACTACAAAAATCTCCAAAACAGAGAAACTGCTTCAGTTAAAACTATTCCAGGAGAAATGGACCCATAACACGTATTACAAGAGTGATCTATGTGGTGGATTGCAGCTGGTTCCATCTTTAACATCTCTGACACAGTTGCTGGGAGATTTCTCACTTATTCATGATCTCAGATCACATATGGGCAAACATTAAAATATTTACAGTTCATGTGCTGCTCTTGAAAATAACACCTGTACTGTTTGCCTCTGTCACCTTGCCATGAACTCACCTATTCCTGTCACAGTTCACTCACCTATGTGGAATGTGCTTTTGTGTTTTAAAAAAAGCAGCTTTTGTACCACCCCCAGGTTCAGGTGCTGCTTGTGGATTCTGCCTCCAAGCCCTCAAGGTGTTCTCCTGGCAATAATACCACCCTGGTCCAAACTGACTTTGGTGTTAAAATGCTGCTCAGTCCATCACTATGAAAAATTCCCACCACAACCATGCAGCTCCCAAACAGGTAAACAGCTGCTCCAAGAGGAGGCAGCCCTTAGAACACCATGGAGCACGGCTGGAATTCAGGCTCTTCCCAACCCGAGGCCAACAGCTGAGGGATGTGCTGGGTGCAGCCCCACCATGACACAAACAGCTCCTGCAGACCCTTTGGAAGCCCCTGCTCCTTGGCGTAGATATTTCTGGACATTTCACTGACCAAACAAGCAGAACCTTCCATGTTGAATCCAGCTTCCATTCTCTCCTCTTGGAAAATACAAATTAAAACTTATTTTAACTGTTTTAAACAACTCAACATGCACTAAACCTGCAGCGTCCCTCTCCCTCCAATTATGAGAAATGCAGTTTAGTTGGTAATAAATGGTCCCAAAATATGGATTGTTCTTATGCAAACAGAGTTAGTTTTCCCTTAAATTTTTTTAAAAGAGGCATTGCTAAAAGAACACAACTGACAGCACCATTACAAAATTAAGATTACTGGGTTCAAAATTTAAGCTTGAATTTTTTTCCTAGTTCTGTTAAACAATGGGGAAACCCTGCAATATTTTTAAAAAAGTGTTACCATAACTTTCCCTCCCCCTTTCCCTCCCAACACCTGAGACTTTCCTTGCTGAGAAGCCATCATCCAGGTTCTGAGAATACTAACCCACCTTTTTTTTTAATTTTTTTTTTTTTTTTTTGACAGCCTGAATGGCAGACTCCTTACTTTTTAGAAAGACATTAAGTTCCTTGGAAGATTTGTGTTTACAGAACTAACCCTTTCTAGCTGATACACCGAGTTTCTTTTGCTACTCCTTGTATTATCTTATATACTCATGGGAGAAAGCTTTCTGATTCAGATTCCTTTTAGCTCTTAAAACAGTTGCAGCATTTGAAACCCCATTTAAAAAGTTCTTATTCCAAAGTTTTGGTTTCTTTTATGAACCCAGACGAGGTCTTTTCCTTGGAGATGTCTCCTCCTCTTCATCATCATCTTCATCATCAGGATAATCCACTAGCCCAACTAGACTTCCCTGCCAATTAGAAAAAGGAAAAGAAGTTTTTATATTGAAGTACCTAGAAAGGTGCAAATTTTGAACAAAACCTCCAGCCACCCTGTTCAGGGCACACCAGTCTTTGGCATTCCAAATCCTATTTGTCTGGAAAATAGGTTTGAACCTCAAGCTGCAAAATGTACTGGAGCTTCCTCACTTCCCTGGGTCTGGATTGAGAATTGTTTAAAAATCACTTTCATCCCAGTGGGACAGGCACGAACTCCAATGTGCAGGTTGACGTCCCTCTGGATGCTCAGCCTTAGGGTGGGCAATCAATCCCTGCTACACTTTTCTGTAGCTGCTCAGGAGCTCGATGGCTGAGGATTCCAATAATGCTCATCTGAGTCAGGCACCACAGAGGGGTCACTCACTGCATTTGTCTCCTCAAAAACACTGGGTAATTCCCCGGCCAACAAGGCACTAACGGAGTTCCCAAAAACTCCAGTCTCCTTTGTACATCAGATACGCAGAGCAGCAACTGAGCAGAAACAAAAAGCGTAAACAATGAAATGATGCAGAGGATGTGGGATGAGACTGCACCCACCAGATTCCAGAAGAGTCCAGCCCCACTCAGACCTCCCCAGAGCAGTGAGGGATTCACTGGAGGTCTCGGGGTGAATTTATCCCAAACTCAGCCCTGCTGCCCACAGGCTGGTTACCCTGCAGGACAGCCCCACACAAGTTTTCCCACCTTGGGGGCTGGCACCGCCGGGCTCAGGGCCGTGTTCTTGGAAGAGGAGCCGTTGGAGCTTGCTGGTGATGTCTGAGCTGCCACGGATTTGCTGTTTGCACCATTTGCACCGTTGGCTGCGCTGGCTGAGTGGGAAAAAGTGAATTTGAATCCCCCAGCTGAAGTCCTTTTTGGAAGATTCTCTTTGTCTTCACTCTCCTTGGCTGCAGGACAAACATTGTCACACTTAGGTATCAGCTGCACACCAAGGAGTACAATCCACATCACAGTGCAATCGTAGGGCGAGAGCCAGCAGGTAGGTATTTTGGTTCCAATTCTGCTGCAATTCTCAGTTTCCCAACCAAGCCCATCCTGAGCCCACCAGCAGCAAACTGAGCAGGGCCTGGATGCTGAGGGCATGGGGACATGGCTCACCTAGGGCACACAGGCACATTCAAAGTCCTGCTTTTGAATACCATTTAAACTCATTTTAATCCTAAACTGGCTTGCAAAGACACATTTGGATCTCATGACTCAATTACATGGAATACCCTGTACTGCTGCTTGAGGTACAGAGCACAAACTGTGGGTTTGTTTGGGTGATAATCCACGTATCTGCCAAGGAGCACTTCCAGTGCCAACAAGCTCAGAGTAAATACCTTTTTTAGTTTCCATAAATTTTTCATAGCTATCTGGAAAATCATCCTCCTGTTTTGACTTCTCAACTGGAGGTACAACAGCTTCGCCTTCTTCCTCTTCATCTTCATTGAACCACATTTCTTCATCCTCCTCCAAGGCTCTGGCATCCCTGCGGAATCTATTGCTACGCAATATGGATGGGACACTGTAAGAGACACACACAGGGGTTCCAGCTTGGCTGCTGTTTCAGGCTCGGGATCAGAAATGCCTTCCAGGGCTTTAGAGGGAATTCAGTGCATTTGAGAAAGCAATGCAGCTCCATCTCTGGTTCTGCCCTCACCCCAAGACTCATCAACAACCCCAGCTGATGACGAGCCTGACTGAATCCTAAATCAGAGTGACAGAGCAACATTTTGCTCTTCTCTTAGAGAGTTCTCTCCCTTGTCTTAGAGAGTTTCCTGAACATAACATTTAGTCCACTGGCCAACATCAGCTCTTCTACACTTGGCCACAAGGAAAGCAGATGGGCTTTCCTCTAATCCAAGAAGTTTTCACCGAGAACGAAACCCAACCCCAGTCCCAGCCTCCTGCTCCTGCTGCCCTCTGGGAAAGGAAAAGCAAGGAGCAGCCCTGCAGAGCAGCAGCCCCTGCCAGGCTCAGGACACAGAAACTGGGGCCTACCTGTTCAGCTTCTGGCTTTGTCGGTCCTTTTCCTGCTCATATTTTGTCTTCAGTCCCTTGAACGTCTGAACATACTC